CGTCGTGTATATATATATATATATATATATATATATATATATATGTATGCGTATGTATATGGACAGTAAGTATATACGTGCGTGCGTGCATGCGTGCGTGCTCTCGTGCGTCGTGTTTAATGCTATCAAATATGGAAATACACATTCATGCGATGGATTCAGACGAATTTAATGTAACACGAGAAAAATCGATTGATTCTCGTGTAAAAATTCGTCGCTCGATCTCGCTAGCGTGATACGTAGCTTGACTAAAAAGCGGCACGCTTTTTACACACTCAATTATTATACACTAGTAATTTGTTAATTTGTAAAACTACATAATGTAAAAATATTCGATCAGTCATCGATCATGCTGCTCAGAATATATCTTTGCTGCAATATCGAATTTTACACTTTCAGCCTACAAACGCATCTACGCTCGTAACCTAAAAGCGCTACGCTAAACGTAGCTACGTAACGCTTTTCAATTTGGGAATAATTAGAATTATCGTTGTTTCTTTCACGACGCACTGCACATTCGACACATATACAAGAATATTCGTATTTCAGCACACAAATATCACACGTATATGCAAACGTACATGTACACGCACACTTTACGAGCGCAACATACGTATGTATAATATATGCAAAATCGCCATCTGAATTTGATCTCAAGGATCTTTCTACGTGTTATCGTCAACAACAGCAAACTATCGAATTTAACGCTTAAGATTAATTCAAGGTGTAACACCGATCACAATTTTCATCGTTTTCAAAAGATTTCCGACTAAGTCGATACAAAAATTCCGTCAAAAATATCGCTGTTTTATGGATTCTACTTATGAGAATTCAACATTATATTCCAGTGTCTTGTTCCGATTGTATTTCTATGCGATGATATATCATAAAATAAAGAAAAAAAAGAACAAATGATAAAACAAAAATAAATGTTTAAGAGGAAAAAAAGAAATGATTGATTTGATCTTGAATACAAGAATATATGGTAAACGAAAGAAATACAAATAGTGTGAAATAAAGATGAAAAATCATCACATCTATTAGTAATCTATTGATTGAATGCAACATTATTAGAAAATAATTACAGAGAATTTATTAAATTTTCTATCGTTAAATTTTTTTTTTTTAGAAAATACCATAATAGCATGATCGGAAGACACCGGATATAAATAGAGTTAAGATGCTTGACGCATCAAATATGGAAATACACGTTACGCATTTCGAAGCAACAGTATTACTTACTCGATACGTATTTACTCATGCAAAACAGTCATAAAAATAACATTCGATGTTAAATGTTGATAAAAATTTAAAAATAATATTGATTAATTACGCTTTCGAGCGTCTTGTCGGTTCCTCTATGTATATTATATATATATGAAAACATTGCGATGTATGAATCATGTGAGTTTGTATTGTTACGCAAAGATGAATTTGATATATTCATCGTGAAATCGTTGTTGTACATAAAAAAAAAGAAAAATAAATAAATAACCAACGAGAAGTACCGATAATGAAGAGAATAATTTAATCGTAACATGAGAGAAGTTCTTCTCGATAAGAATGTTTTACATGATCATATAATCTTGGAAACGAGGAAATCTCTTTCGTAACTTCAATCTTTTCCTTTTTTTTGTTCTGCGTTACAATCAATCAAATAAGAAGAATTAAACAAAATAGCAACCATCGATCTTGTTACTTTTAGATCTTGGACAATTATTGGGATCTGAAAAAAAATCGAATCTAAAAAACTAAGTATATACATCTATTATATGTTATTTACATTCATATTAATAAATCATAATAATATATATTTAACAGTTTTTTATATGAAATTCCAAAAAATTTTAATTAAAAAACAAAGCGACAAATAGACAAAAAATATACGATTTCGAAAAAAAAATTGAGAAAAGAAGAAAGAAATAGAAAGAGGAAATAGAAATAAAAAAGAGTAAATGGTAAAAAAAAATATGTATTTAAATTAAATTAAATTTAGATTATTAAATTTAAATTAGATTTAAATTAAAATTTTTGATTAATATTCTAAATATAATATACAAATATCAGATATATTTTAACCTTTATTCCGGTTTTAATCGATGCCATTGTACGATTGTTTGTCGTGGCTTCGTAATCATATCTTGCCAATGTTTTGTTTCGCTTGCTCCACTCCCGTTTTTTCCTGAAAGTTAACAAAATATTATTATCATTATTTATCATTATTTATCGTTATAATCATATAAATATGCATATAAATTAATCATTACTAATATCAATCAATATCAAATTTGTATAGATAATTAAACTAATCGATTGACTATTCAAAAAAAAAATCACTTTACCTGCAAGTTGAATTCGCCCAATCAATTCATTTCGGCCAATATTATCAAAGTCCATTACCATTACGTCTAACGAACATTCGCGAATTTTTTCCCACGGTACGTTGAATGAGAAGGCTTCATTAAATACTGGATTTAAAGTACATTTAAATATAGGAGTTTTTCGTTTTTCAATTCTCTTATCTCCAAATTGTAACCATACTTTTACGTACGGATCTAAATATAGAAATCGAAGAAAAAGAAAAGATTTATCGTTAAATTTTTCTCTGATTCGCAGTTTTTATTGATTTTTATTGGTTCTGTAGAAATGTCATAAAAAGGAAATATATCGACATTAAGGAAATATAAGACATTATAAATTTCTTTAAAAGTCTGCTTAGAACAATTATCTTTTTATTTTATAGCGATACCGCATATGCAATTGTGATTGTTGATAGATTTTCCATTTATAATTATCATTCTTATAATTATTCCTTTCAAAATTGGCTCATTCTGAATATATATTTATTGTATATTAAAAAATTCTTTTTTTAAATATTTTCTTCATTTTTTTTAGTTCATATAACATATAAATAAAAAATACAAAAAAAAATATAAGAAGCGTAAACAAAATAATATATTACAAAATTTTTTAATATAGCCAAATTATATTTGTTAATATTAGCTAGATTAGTTAGGCAAACTATCTTAGAAACTACTTTATTTATTGAGTTAAACGAATCAAATATTGGTAATAAAGAAATATTTATTATAAATAAATCTTCTTTCAAATTATTTAAAAATTTTTTAAAAATATACTACGGATTTAATTACTATTAAAGTTAGAAGACTGACATATTAATATACTATATATATTATGTATACTACATATATATATATATATATGTAGTATACATATATATTTAAAAAAGTTGTAAAAAAAAATAAAAAAAATTTAATCCCGACAAGAGTTCATTAAAAAAAAAGAATATTATATTAATAATAGTAGTTGATAATACAATATATTGTGATCTGAATAATATAATAATATTTAATAAATTATTTAATAATGCTTAAAAAAGAAACACGTCTTTTATAAATGTCACTATCTTTTTCAATACAATCAATTTATGAAGAGGTTAATAGTATTGCAAATACATTTATAATTAAATATTTTTCCAATGTTGTTATCAATTATAATAATTTCTTAGTTTTTTTTTTTATATTTTGTTCGAAACAAAAATATTCCTTTCATGCCATTTCTTTGCTATATAAAGAAATGATGATTTCTTACCTGATTTCCCATTAATATCCTTTGCTTTCAAATTTCTAGCTTTCAAGAGTGTCAAAGTTAATACGGAATTGCTTGGATGATAACATAAAGAACACAATAATTCTCCACATTTATCTTTTGCTGGAGGTTTTAAAGCTTTCCAGAATGAAGGTTTGTCCGAAAAATCAACCTATTAAATGATCATTGAATATTTTAAACAATTTGAAAGGAAAAAAAATCGATAATCCAATAATAAAAATTACCTGACATAGCGGAAGAAACATTTCTCCAATGGAATCATCTCTTGAAAATCGATCGTAATCAAATACATGTAAATGTAACACTCGACTTTGTAACTTTTGAATTGGAAAACCTATAAATAATAAAAAAACGAAAAAAAAACATAAAATAATAATTATAATAATATAATATAATATAATATAATTTTCAATGCGATCACTGAAAAAAATCCAATTTATCAAACCTATTTTAATTCGATACTTACCTTCGAAATAAAATGTTTCGTTCCATCGAGGATTTAGCGTGCGTCTCTTTATCTTCGTCTCGAGTCGGTGTTTTTTGTCCGGCAGAAGAGTTACGCGAACATAAGGATCGGACGTTCCGGATAAATCCTTTGCTGGCAAATCTTTACCCTAAATCCGAAGAATAAACTTTGTTTATATGATGTAATAATTATCTTGTAATATCAATATACATTATGTATATATGAATATATATTATATCAATATATATTAACCTGTATAATACGTAGGATAAGCGTAGTATTTTGAAAGTCATATTCCAGACTAAAATGAATTTGGCCAACGTTTTCACTGGGTTCCGAATTATCAATATACATGTCTACTAAAGACATCGATCTATTTTGTAGGAATGCTTTCTAAAATAATAATGAAGATATTTTTTTATAAAGAAAAAATAATTATTTCTGCAAAAAAAAGAAGAAAATATGAAAAATATATACTGAAGGATGTTCTCCTTTGACATTTTGCAATTGTTTATTTTGTACTCCGATCGTTGGTGTACGAGATTCAACCGTTCCACTGGCCACATTTCCGGTACCAACATTCGTCCCGATGCTGATACCACTGGTCCCTGCATTCACAGTACCAATACCAGATACGGTGGCGCCAGATCCGCTACTTCCTGTGGCTACTCCGCTTGTCGTTAAGTTATTCGCACCGACACTTGTCCCACTAGTTCCACCAGTGCCACTTCCACTCGCCGATGATGCTGGTTTATTCGCTGGACTACCGGTTGTTCTACGACAAAATCAATTGGCCACCGTCTTTTTAAATCTCGAAATTCAACTATACATAATGTTATTCATTCCCATGTTTATGTTTTAGCCGTCATTATCATCATTATTATCATTATCTTTATTATTATCATCATTAATATCAATATCATTATCATAGTCTGATAATGATATCATGATATTGTGTTATCGTCATTGCTGTCATCGTCATTGTTGCTGTCACCGTAATTGTCATGCCATATGTATTTATATTTCAGTTTCGTTTTTTCGTCTTTCAACCAAAAAAAAAAAATTATTCTCTATTTCACATCATTTCGATTTTGTTTCACGTGCATTTATCAACTACAATGAAATCTAAAGCATTTATGCATACAATTTCTATTTTGGCATAGCTGAAGCAATCGTGACAAGATTATAGGATTTTGTCGTTGAAAGCGATGGCAACGACGATCGTAACAACTACAAACTATGAACAAGATTCTGAATGTCCATATATTTAATATAAATATATTTATATATTATATATATATATGTGTCGCAATTATATAATGGCTGTCTATGTTTATTTTTCTATATAACGTAATATAACCTAATATATAACTAAATATATAGATAATATATACAACTTAAATATTCAAGTTTAAACATTTACAAGAACACAAAAAAATAATTATATTTCGAATCATTGGAATATACATTGTCAAATTTTTAAATAAATATGATTTTATTATTTTATTGTTAAAGATATTTTGATAATCAATTTCGAGAGATCAATTTTTTGTTTGTCTCTCTCTTTTTCTCTCTTTTTCCTTTGTTTTTAACGTTCAATTTCTTGTCTAATTAATCTCGATAAAAAATATTAGAGAGAATTAAGAGAGTATTTCGAAGAAACAGCGAGATAAAATAGTTTTTCATAATTGTTAAATTTGCTGGAAAAAACGTCTAAAACTTGCACATTATTTTAAATTTGACATTATTTTAAAAAAAAAATGAAAGGCTATTGTTTAAAAGACAATTTAAAATCGAAGAAATTGGAGTTTAGATTTGGGAATTTTATTTCAATTGAATTACTTACGCAGATAAAGCAGCGCCCATCCGCGAATAAGATATTCCCATTAGGAAGAAGAATTGAAAGAGAAGATAGAAGAGTCAAGTGAAGCAATGTGAGAAAAGATCGATTAAAAAATTTTAAATTATTCTCTAACTTATGATATACTTACTCCAGTTGCGCTCTGGATTCCAATAGTAACCCCAAAAGGATGCATGAAACACAAAAAATTAAAATAAAATTTTTTGAATTTTAAATCTTGATCTCGAATTTGACGAAAAAAAAAAATGAAACAAACATAATAAAAAATTGTTCTAATTCAACAGAACCACAAATATTTTTCTTGATATCATAAACCAAATATTCTTAACTTCCATTTTTATTCTAAAACGTGACTCGATTTATATTTGCAATAATAATAAATTTAAGAAAGAAAAAAAAAACAGAAAAAAGATTAATTAAATAAAAAAGAAAGTTAGCGAATTGTATGAAGGAGAGGAGCAGAAGGATAGACAAAAGACAGAAAAAGACAGAGTAAAGACATAGAAATAGAGAGAGAAAGAGATAGAGAGAACGTACCCATTTCACGAGTCATCGTTCAGACAAACATACTCCATCACACCTTATGTTCGCAAATCTTTATCGAGAGGATCATTATCATGCTAATTTTATTCTTAATTTACGTTGCCGAGTTAATACACATTTCTTACCTGGTAGTGTAATATTCGAAGAAGGCAACCAGTATTTCCAAAGATCTCGTGACTGCAGCCCACATGATTTTATTGTTCCGAGTGTCTTTAACCACGATTATTGCGTGGACGCGTTCACATTCCCGTTATTAAGCTTTTTAGATATAATCTATTTGAATAAAAGAAAAGAAAAAACGAGAAACAAAAATTCTTTCTATTTATATATGCATTTTTAATATCTCCCTTAGGTTTTATAATCTCTTTCTTCTATTTTGAATATAGATGTTTGATATAGAATTTTTTGAATTAAATATTTTTTTTCAAATCACAAAACTCGATTCACAATTCTATCTAGTTTTTAATATTTTAATAAATTTTATTTATATATAAGCAATAATATATGATAACATTTTATTTAATATATGATAATATTTAAGTTACATTATTTATAAATATCGAATTCAATGTGAATAAAAACATTTGCAATTCAAAATTGTGAATATTTTGTATTTGTAAAAATTTACATCACGACATCATTTTAAGGCATATTTGGCATCCATGCATGAAGTTTTTCGAGTAAAAATACTTCAAATGAAATAGTTACTATTATTGCGCGTACTCACAGCTTTTAATGTTCACGAATATAGAAAAAATTAAAGAATCAAACAAACTTAAAAATGTATAAGTTTTTAAGGAACTTAAAAATTTAGTTAGTAAAGAACTATAATAATAATGGTCGATAGTATCGAAAAAATCCCAGGAATTTGTTCGATTATTCAGTTGTTCAGTCGGTCGGTTAGCCCGTTAGTCGGTTGGTGGATGGAGGGGTTGAAAGAAGGGGATACGATCGATCTTAGCTACATTCGCTGGTACCACTGCCACTGTTCACGCCATCGTCGACGTCATAACCACCGCCACTGCTGTCATCGTCAACAACTGGGATAGCTATCATTATCATTTCAATTCATTATATTATTATTGTTTTTGTTACCAATCACCGCCCACAAATAACTTGATTGTTATTGCCATAACGTTGCTGAATAGCAGCAGCGTGACCAGCGACAATCATGCGACACGTGAACGAAATTAGACATACATTATTGATTTCTATACCAAAACTATGTTACAGATTAAGTCTTCTGATATTATCGATGTTTAAGAAATAAACGACAAAATTTCAAAGCTAATAGAAGATATATATTAGGTCACGCATGTAACAACGATGTTTGCAAAAGTCGATAAATAAGGCGCGCGCATACTGAGTATGTATACATTTTTGTTACGATTAAACGACAATATCGAAACAAGAGGCAATTCATTTTTTCATCTATGTATATCAACTCCGTCTCCTCTTTTTCTTTCGTCATCATTCTTTTTGAAACTTGTTATTCAAAATGTTGTTTAAATGACAAAAATGCCGATTGATTCATTACCAATAATAATAATAATCATATTTGTCATATATAGGAAAATTCTATTTTTTGAAATTTTCTTTTTTCTTTTTTTTGTAAAGCGAATCATTTATATTAGTTCTTTTTTTTTAAATTTCTTTTAAATTTTAGTTAAAAATATTAGTAATGAAAAGTGCATTTGATACGAAAGAAAATTGTGAGAGAAGCGATCGATTGAAACGCACGCGCATGATAAAGGTAAAAGTTCCTGGCCGTGATATGGCTCGGTCAATGCCGAAGAATATCCAAGCAACAGGTTCCTAGTCGATGTACACGCGGACTATTAAATTTTATAAGAAAATACAAAAATATCTTTCCTATCATTGGATATTAAAAACTTAAATATTTAAATATTTATTATAAATTTAAATATTTAAAAATATTTCGCTTTTTTCACTATGAACTTTCACAGTAATCACATACTCATAATGAAATAATATCACTTCTTCAACTAGAGAATATCAATCAAAACATCAATGATGAAATTTGAGTAACAAGTTTTTATTATGAAAATATATTAGATATTTTATAAACATTCCGCACTTTTCAAAAAACTTATTATTACTACTCTTATTTATTTATCAATGCATAATAATCCAAATGTTATCAAAGATATATATTGTATTTTAATAATTTTTTATTTTGAAAATTTTATATGAGAAAAAAGACAGAAAAGAAAAAAATGGAAATGTAATATACGAGAGCATATTAAGCAAAGCAGTTGCAGAGAGAAAGAAAATAAATCAAGTAAAAAATACTTTAAAAGAATTAAGAAAAAAAGGAGAACTTATTTATTAAATTATAAGTAATTTAAATTTGTGTTAAATAAAATAGACGAAGGTAAAATAGAAAAGATAGAAACTGCTTTATTTTTTTTTGCCGTTCCATCTAATGCAAACTTAAATTACTTAATAAATAAGCTTAACTTAATAAATCAATATTTTTTTGTCATATATATAATATCAACTTTTGTATTTATTTTAATCTCTAGAATCGATTTTTGAAAAGTGTCTTATAAATACATTAACACTCTATATATAAAATAATATAGAAAAAAAATATTGTTCTCATAAAAATATTGACTTATAATCAATCAGATCGATAATTAATTATAATCGATAATGAATTGTATTCATTATATAATTCAATTGAATTATATTCATAATCGTTTCGATTTAAAAATTTTAATTAATCTGTAATCTTAAAATTTTTTAGCCACTTTTTATTCAATTCATGTATATGAAAAACATGGATAAACATTAATTTAAGATAGGACATATCACGTATATGCTTATCGTTTTTCCAATTCCACTACATCTATATTGCGATGTCGTCAAAAAAAAATTGTGTATTTTCTATATTAATATTTTTGTGCTTATTCCTTGTCATTCTTTAATTACTCACCACTCACTTCTTTAATATTTCCAATTGAAAATAAACAATTAATCAACAATATAAAATTTAAATGGAGATAAATTTAATAAAAGATATAATAGCAAAAACATGTTATCGAAGAATAACACGCAGGAATCGGTATATAAAAAAACAAAATGCATTTAATAATTAAGACCGAGAAACGAAAGTTAGTGAACTACACAATCGTGAACTGTAAGCTGTAAGCCGTAAGCTGCAAGCCATAAGCCATAAGCCGTAAATTGTAAATTCTTCACTGCAAATTATAAATTGTCGATAAATTCAAATAAGAACGCGATGCGAAATTCTCGTTATACAATCGAAGAAGAAATTGAAATATATCACGTTCGCTTTCATGCGAAAAACGTGCACATTTTTCTCTTTCTAACTGCAATCGCGTCGCATCACTGACTAAACTTTTCTCCTAGATGGAAAAGCCCTGGTCACATATACACATCAATGCATTCAAGCCTTCGATACATTGGCGCCACCTCGCTGCTCACCAAAGGAGTATTCAGGACGCCATAGAAAATTTCTCCTACGCACCAGGGATCAAACGTTTGCGCCCCTCTTTTCTTTTCTCTCTTTCCTTTTCTCACTTCTTCCTTCTCTTTTAACCCAGACCTACCCCTCTCTTCTTGGTCAATTTCTCCGCCATGGTTATACTACTTTATCATATTCTATCTTTACCCTTTTCTACCTACATATTACTATCCTCCCTCCAATTCTATCCCCTCCATTACCACTACCACCATTACTAACTTTGCCAGACTTCTCCCACTACCGTCACCACTACTATCACTATCTTTACCATTATACCACCACCACTATCGCTTCCTACCCTCATCCTTATCAACCATATATATTTTCTTGGTCGGTATTTCATTGGCTCCCTCTCTCTCTCTC